ATTATAGACCTATTTCTTTGTTGAATGTGGATTATAAAATTTTTGCAAAGGTTTTGGCTAATAGATTGATGCAGATACTGCAACACTATGTACATGATGATCAAACTGGTTTTATATCTGGGAGATACATGAAAAATAATATCAGACAAATTGTAAATCTACTGGAATATTTGGATAAGAACAGGGCTTTTTTTCAGCCAGAACGCGGCGGAACCGCGTTCCGGCACCTTTTTCCGGGCCGGCCGCACCGGAAATAGCCCCTCCCGCACCGGAAATAGCCCCTCCCAAATTTTACTTGCATTCCTGTTCTCTAAAGGGGCGGTCCTAGGGTTTGATGAGGGCGTGGCCAGGTTTGAGTTCCGCCACCTTTTCTCTGAGAAAAAAAGCCCTGGATAAGAATAATCAAATACCATCGGCTTTTATCTTTCTTGATGCGGAGAAGGCCTTCGATAAACTGGAATGGCAGTTTTTAAATAAAATGTTGGACTATATGAACTTTGGAGATCAATTCAAGACAGCTATAAAGGCGATTTATCAAAAACAGTGTGCTCAAATAATTATTAATGGAGACCTGACAGAACTTATAGATATACAAAAAGGTACTAGACAAGGTTGTCCACTTTCTCCTTTATTATTTGTATTGTCTTTGGAAATTTTGTTGTCCAGAATTAGAGAATCTTCAATGATTAAAGGTTTAAAGATTTCTACTAAAGAATATAAACTTAAAGCTTTTGCGGATGACTTAGTTTTTACATTGTCTCAACCAATAGAGTCACTGGAATCTTTGTTGCAAGAACTGTATCAATATGGTAAAGTGGCTGGATTTAGAATTAATGTTAACAAGACTAAAATTCTTGCAAAGAATATGATGGCCAAAGACAAGGATCAACTTACGCAAATATCAGGATTCGAAGTGGTTAATAAAGTCAAATATCTGGGAATTTTCTTGTCATCCTCTAACATGAAACTGTATCAGAATAACTACGAAAGATTGTGGAAACTAGTACAAAAGGATTTATTAATATGGAAAAAACTACAGTTTTCATTGCTGGGTCGTATTGCGGCCATTAAAATGAACATTTTACCTAAGTTTCTTTTTCTATTTCAGATGATACCTATTCTAAAAAATGAACTTAACTTGAAAGAATGGCAAAGAGATCTGAATCGCTTTATTTGGGAAGGCAAGAAAGCCAGAGTTAGATTTAAGATTATCCAAGACATTAGAGAACGTGGAGGACTTAAAGCTCCAAATTT